GCAGTAGCAGTAGCAGTAGCAGTAGCAGTCGCAGTCGCAGTCGCAGTCGCAGTCGCAGTCGCAGTCGCAGTAGCAGTAGTAGATGAAATAGTAGTAGTAGTAGTAGTAGTAGTAGTAGTAGAAGTAGAAATAGTAGTAGTAGTAGTAGTAGTAGTAGTAGCAGTAGTAGTAGCAGCAGCAGCAGCGGCAGCAGCAGTAGAAGGAGCAAAAGCAGAAGTAGTAGTAGTGGTGGGAATCTGAGCCGCTCGCAGCGACTGCGCCAAGTCCCACAGCAAGTAGGGGAGATCCCTCCAGACAACGGAAGATAAAAGTTTCATTGCAGTCATTGCAGTCTGATCCAAGACAACAGCTGTGTCTGCACATCTGCTTCTTGCACTACAACCCTTGTGGTAAGCCTCTGTGGATCCCAAATAGTAGTCCCATATTAAGTGATACAGGAGCCCTACTGAGTAAGCCAACTTTGAAACTTTCCGCTGGCGGCTCTAGCTGAAGCTGGCCTCAGGGTTATCCAACCCAGCTGTGAGAGTCGGAGAAACCTCGTCTTCCTGGCAGCGAAAGTCTTCGGCTGTCAGCTCTGACGCCTCTTGGTCTGGTCGCTGAATCGTTCCCCTTGGATACTGTACATGCAGACACTGAAAGGATCTTTGCTAATCCTTGCCCTGCTGGTACGGACGATCACATCCCGAGAGCACCACTTGCTCTAGTAGAGCCAGCACCAAGACTTGCTAATCACCGGACTTCCAGGCTGTGATGTCAAGACGAAAACTGCATCACGTCTCAACCCTCTGCATGAGCATGGCAATGATCTTATGAACTGATGACGATGCTGACGGCAGTGGCGCTGGTGGGAACTCTCCTAACCATGATAGTCACCATCATCACCATGATTAATTACCATAGTCACCATCATATCCCCGACCCCAAACCCCAAACCCCAAAACCCACACCCTGAATCCCAAACCCTAAACCCTCTCATCGTCATCAACATCATCATCAGCTCGAAGCCGCTCCCTCAGATCTGGGCCGCCTTGATCAGCCCAGGCATCCCGGTGAGGTTCGAGCTCGCACCAGGCCCCTGCCACCCGGGGGGTAATCTGGCTTGGGGTGTAGGGCCTTGTGGGTTTTGTTCAGTCTAGGCTTGGCTTGCGGAGGTCGATGACTTCTGTCAGGCTTTGGAGTTAGGTTGCTGCACATGGTTTCTGCGACTTCTGTTGATATAGTTGCCGGATCAACAGACGGGGCCCTGAAGAAGCTGCTTTGAATGCTAATATAGGGGCCTTAATAATTAGAATAGGGTTTGGGTGTATATCATACTATGATCATTATAAGGAATCCCCAAAACCCTATTCTAATCATTAAGGCCCCTGCATTACACCGACGGGCGAAACACAAGCGCCTGGGATGTCGAAGCTCTGGTGCTCTGGGCAGAGCTGGTGACCTCCTCAGCTGACAAGATCAGCCCTGCGAACTTAACGTACAAAAAAAAAACAAACATCTGCAATTTGGGATTCCCGACCACAACACAGTGAAGGAGTCCCACTCTAAAATCGCTTCTAAAGCATGGCACCTCTCTCCCTCTCTCTCTTTCGGAAGTGCGGCAAGGTGGCGGCAGCTGCGGACGTAGTTGTTGGAGGCTCGGTGGTGCTGTGTGGTGGGGCCGTCGTCCACGGAGGCGCTGCAGATGTCGTAGGCTCTCGTGCCTGAACCCAAAACCCTTTGGGGACTGCATATTCCGGTAAGGTATCTTGCATTCTGCCTGCGGTCGTGCACAAAAGCAGTGTCGGTAGCAACGCCGTGAGAAGACATATTACAGTATGGTATAGTAGGGTCTTCTCTGGTCTAGTGTAGTCTAGTGCAGTGCAGTATAGTCTAGTATAGTCTGATGAATAGTCTACAAGGTTTAACATAATATTGTCTCGTCTAGTATATCAGAGTCTAATATAGTATAGCATAGTTTAGTATAGCGTTACTTTGGTATAGTGTAAGAGGGCAAGACTGAGGCACGTGCCACCAATTGCACACCTGCAGGAATGCCGGTCTCAGTCAGCTCCTGATTGCCGGAATCTAAAGCTGAGCTCATCTGGGATTGGGGAAGTACATCTTGCGGCCAGCATGATTTTGTACCAAGTAGCATAGCGCTAATATAACAGCCCTTACAGCAACCCTTACACTAATCCTTCCAGTAACCCGTAGAGGCACCCTTTAAGGGTCCCAACAATGAAAGGCTGCGTCCTGTGCGACGTCCACGGCCACCGCTTGCAAGCTCGTCTCAGAGGAGAGGAACTCGGCGAGGCCGCGAGAGACATCCCGGACCTCGCAAGGATTCTGAAGGCTCATGGCCTCATCATTCTGGGGCTTAGGGTTTCTATGGCTTCGGGTTTTAGGGTTTAGGGTTTTGGGGCTTCGGCTTTGGAATCTCGGTTTAGGGGTTAGGATTAGTGAGCTTGGGTTTTTGGAGGGTTTCAGCTATGGTTTAGGCTGGATTAGGGCTTAGGGGTTTGTAGGGTGCAGGAGTATGAAGCTTCCTCAGTCCAGGCATGGGCAGAAGTGCCTGAACGATGAACTGAAGCGTCTGCAAGCTCGCCAACCTGCAGCATCGAGAACATCCAATGCAGGCGTGCGGAAGCAGAGATAAGCAGAGTATAGCAGTATAACAGAGTCATGCAGGGGCACGCCTTCTGCCGTTCAGAACAGGCTCCACCGAGACTGCCTCACAGGGAGTGATGCGGCAAGAGCCAAAACCCAACTAGCTGACTGCTGCTGAGCGTTACAGAATTTTGGGTCAAGGGAGGCGGGGGGTCTGCTGGTGTATCAATTAGAGTTTCGAGTTCGCGGGGCCCGCATGGATATTGGACTCAGTTTTGGTTTCGGCTGGCGGTTGAGCATTAGGGCTGCCTTGTGACTCTGCATACAACTGGGTCCAATGGTCCTTGCAGTACAGTACAGTACTGCACAGCACACTACAGTACAGCACAGCACTCTACTAGAAACTACATATTATATGCTATATGCTATATACTATATGCTATGTACTATGTGCTCGATGTTACACGTATACTATATACGATATACGATATGCTATATACTGTATACTATATACTA